ACCTCATGTTTCAGAGTAAACTGTGCTCCGTAGGGTTTGCAATGGTTGACTTCTTAGCACCGTGGATGGAACCGTGGTGGCATAGTGGTTATGTATTGGGCTGCATCTATAGGGTCAGCAGTTCGTAACCACTAGCCACTCTGTAGGAAAAAGATGGGGCTTTCTACTCCTGGAAACGCAGAGGGACAGTTCTATCCTCTCCTAAAGGGTCACTCTGAGTCGGCGTCGACTCGATGGCAAGGAATTTGGTGTTTTTGATTTGGTGGGTGAACTGGAGGCGCCAAGGTCGGCAGTTTAAGCCACTCCCAGGGAGAAAGATGAGGATATCTACTCCAACTCTGTCCTATAGGGCTGATAGGAATCGGAATAGACTCTATGGTGAGCATTCCAGGTGATATAGTTGGTTATGAGCTGGGCTACTAACCACTAGGTCAGCAGTTCGAGACCACTTGCTCCTCAGGAGAAAGGTGAAGCTTTATGCTCCATTAGTTCAAGTCCCAAAGTTGAGCTTGCCAGATTTACAGTTTCAGAAACCCACAGGGGTAGTTCTACTCCATCCTACAGAGTGGTTACAAGTCGGAATGTATTGAATAACCATGAATGCCCTAATGTGATCACGGATTGATTTTTCTTTATCATTCTAATGTAGTCACTCCTATTTCCATCATACTTATGGGCACTTGCTTCTATTGTAATAATCAGCTTTATTAAAATCTACCTGAGAGCAGCAGGACACCTCTCCTCCCAGGCAAATGCCTGTGCTTTCTAGCTCGTCCTTGCCATCTTACCCATTTCCCTGAAGCAAATTCTTTGTTTCCTAGCTTCTGGAGGAGGAATTCTGGGCTTGCTCCAAGTTTCTCTTTTGCTGTCTCAGTGCTTTTCCCCCCTCCTTCGCTCCCTCCCTCTCACTTTTTCCATCACGCACAGACAGCTGCAATTTGTGTGGCCCCGTCGTCTGCTGGAGGATCACTGATTGACTAGGGTGATGCCGGCGGCTCATTCAGATCTCAAGGGATAGCCGGGATGGCATTTTCACCCACTCTTTAAGGCTCCCGATAATTGCCTCAGAGCTGCACGTAGGAATGTATGTGGAAAATTCATGTGGACTGACATGCTTGGGGTTAATTGGTTTCGGCTGGAGTCTCTGGAGAGCAGAGTCCTAGTGCACAAGCAACGCAGGGACAAGTGCCTGACCTGCGAGGGGCGTGGCCTCTGGAAGGACGGGAATTCCTCAGGCCTTCACACGCCCACCTCCGGCTCCAGCCGAATGGGGCCGTGATGAAATCTTGGAACAAAAGTATCCGAACTCAATTAATTGTTGATTAATATCCATCGTGACAGCTATATAATGCGTCCCCTTTCATGGCGGGTCAAAGATGAAATTTGATTATGCTTTGGAGGGTGTGGCTTGCCTCTTCAAATTCCTTACACTGCCGGTTCGGTTGCGGCATTACCAGGAGCAACCTCAAAGTGCCCTCACTTAGCCAAGGGAGGCCTCGGCGCTGGGAAGGATCAAACAAGTGCTGCACCATGAGGAAGAAGACGCTTCAGATGGACGAAGCCCCACACTGTGAGCTAAGTAAGTAGCCGGCAAGCAGGGGACAGCCCCGGGAGGTTGCCAGGGTGGGCCGATCTCGAAGGACGGCGACCACGGGCTCCTGTCCTTCTATCTTCTCGTTTCACCAGACCTGCCCAAAGGAAAGGTTCTCGCCTTCCGGAAACTCCACGGATACCTTGTGGAATGACTCGGTACTAACCTGTGCTTTCTGTTTTCTTCCCTCTCCAGGAGGAACTATATGGAAACCAGCCTGCAATAGGAAGCTGTGTTGGCAGGCCCTTTTCTTTTTAAAATCTGTGCATCGGTTACGGAGTCGGTTCCGTTGTCTGTTACTTGGATCGCTCTCTTTTTTCCAGCTCATTTTTCTTTCCTTTTACCTTGGCCTCTTTCACTAACGAACGCCATGTCCTCCTAGCAGTTGCCGTGGAGAAGGAAGGGGACAATGTTTTAGGCTTTTCACTCTAAACTTGCACTTGCTTAGATAAGCTCCGACGAGGGGGAGGGAGCCCTGTGCCAGCGCTTTTGGCAGCGCTGAAGGACACTGTAGAAATGATGTCCTGCTGGTTTTAGCAGACCATTTATTCCTTCCCTCGCCAGCACCACCGGTCTGTCCATTTTGGGGCCACAGGCCCCGGCTTGTGAGGCGGCGGCTCGGATTGCTTTGGGCGGGGGCTGGTTCGGGGAAGCAGCTAGCCGGCTGGGTGGTCCGGAGGAGAACAATAGACTCCCAGAGACAACTGTCCTACCGGAGACTAGTAGGACAGCCGAGGCGGTCCAACTGGCTGTGCCAGCTGGCGTTTCGAGGTGCCTCCCAGGTGTGGGGCGCCCGTGGTGGCGCAGTCGATAGTAGGATGTGGCTCTTCTGGGGGCGAGAGAAACTTTCTGGTCAGGCGGCTTTACTTCCTAAAGTGGACCGTGTGGCCCTCGTCGATCGCTAGAGCAGAATGCGAGTCCGCGGCGCACGACAGTCGAGACGAACCTGTCCCCGGGCTGCCTAAGGGACCGGGCCTCTCACATCCCAGAGCCGTGTGGGGTTTCCCCGCGTGGAGCCCAGGCGCCCGAGGCCGCGCCCTCCCGGGCCGCGCTGGCCCCGCCCCCAGCCTGACGCAAGGTGGGCGGAGCCCGGATCCTAGCCCGCGGCTCGCCACGCGCGCCGGGCGCTGCGAGGAGTCCCACCAATAGGGTGCGCCGCTGCGGCTTCGTTGGCCAATCGCGCGAGAGTAGCGAGCTGGCAGCCTTGGAGCTGGCTCCAGGGAATGGAGCCGCTGGAGCGGGGGCAGCTTGGCCGGTGGTAGCGGAGCCGGTAAGACGAGGGACCGGCGGGGTCAAGGGTCACGCAGGCGCGCCTCGAGAGCTTGGTCGGCGGGAAGGGTCGCCTCGAAGGGCCAGTCTGGGGTCGGGGCCGGGCTCGCGAGGCGCGTGCGGGGCTGCGAGAGACAGTGTCGGCAAGGGAGGGCCTGAGGCGCCCGGCGCGGGTCTCAAGTCCCGGACGGCGTGGCATTGTCCCCAGGAAGCCCGCGAGGCGGGCGCCGGGAGTGGGGGAGTGGCGGGAAAGGCGCGCCGCGCCGCGCCAGGTATCCCAGGAGGCCTCCAACTAACCTGCTGCGGCTCCCGCACCCGACGTCTCGCCGGGACCCGGGACCCATGACCCAGGGTGCGCTGACCGATTGCCGTGCCGCCTCGGCGGCCGGGCACAGGGCAAGGTCCCTCGCGGCCGCTTTCTTCTGGGCAGAGGTCAGGGGCCGGCCCGCCGGCTCCCCGCGGGGCCCGGACCTCTCCCCGGTGCGGCACCAGAAAGTTCATTTTTAGGATAGCCCACGTCCTCGGCCGATGCAGGCCGCTTCGTGCAGCCCCGAGGGCCCCCGTGGCTTCCAGGCTGCAGGAGGAAGGGTGGATTGCAGGGCACTCCGTGGAGCCGCTCCAGCTGTTTGGTTTCTTCAAAGCTTTCGCTCACTCCTTGGTACTTGGCCCTCTGGATTCCATCTCACTTCTGTTTTTACCCCAAGTCTCTCTGGAGCCCGGGTGTTCTAGTGGGCTTCGAATCGGACTCTCAGCCACGAGGTCACAGGGTTCGAACTCATCAGCCTCTGTGTGGAAGACTCTGCACCCCGGAAGACTCACAGTCTGGGACACCCACACGTTAGTGCTAGGTCGCCGTAGAGAAAGAACCGCTCTGAGTCGGGGTGGCATGGAGTTGGGTTGTGGGGTTTCCTTCTGCCTCATACCCGATTGTTTCAAAGAGCACCATGAGAAGGGTAGTTGGGAAACGCGGGTTAGAGCTACTGTACGTAAAAATGAAGATGCTCTATTCTCTCGGTGCTGGTCTGATGGTGTTAAATGCCTCTTCTCTTTTAAGTAGAAAGCAAAGGAAAAAACCATATGGAAGGAGAGGCAAGGCTTCCAAAGGAGGTTGCTGGCCATGACTTTAGAGAATGTTGGTGGAACCAGGGAAGCTGTGCTTACAGACTCCCTGTGGACCCCAAGACCCCACCAGACTCTACCCCTTTTTGTCTATGGAGATCTCTTTTAGATTCTAAAATCATTTTACTCTGGCATACTTAGAATGGGGATCGATACTATCAACAGATGTTTGGGTGATTGGAGGTAATACACAAAGTGCTCAGGACAGTTCCTGGCTTGTAGGAGTTTTTATGAATAGTGCCTGTTAGCTAGGAGCTCTGGTGGCTTAGTGCTGTTATGTGTTAAGCTGGTAGTTTGAAATCACCAGCCGAAAGATGGGACTTTCGACTCCCGTAAATAATCATAGTCTCAGAAAGTCAGTTCCCTGAGTTGGCATCAACGCGATGGCAGTGAGTTTAGTGTTTTGGTTTGGGCTTATTAGTTGCCTTGCCGTCATTTCCAACTCGCGGTGACCTGAATGTGTCACGAAACACAATGTTCTCTCCCTGTAGGGCATTGTATATTTGAGCCCACTGCGTCAACCCGCCTTATTGAAGGCTTCCCTAGTAGAGGGTGAGCTTTAAGTGATGTTCTTGTCTAGTGATTGACAGGTGTGCCTACTTACCTCTTCAAAATGAGGAAAGTAAGGACTTCTGAGCTTATGGCTTACTCTTGCTCAGAATAGGCATGCACTTGTAGTCAGAGATCCCTTCGGCCTTTGTCTCCCAGCTGCCTCATCATCTTTGATTTGAGAGTGTAATGTGACTAGAAGCTTTCTGCTGAGCATTTATCACTAAACAAGGGAAACATATGGTGGTCCTGGTGGTGTAACGGTTATGTGTTGGACTGCCAACCAGAAGGTTAGCAGTTTGAAACCACCAGCTGCTCTGAGGGAGGAAGATGAGGCTTTCTACTCCCCTGAAGAGTTAGTTTTGGAAACCCACAGGGCGGTCCTACCCTGACCTGTAGGGTCACTTTAAGTTGGACTGGACAGCAGTGGATTTTTTTTGAGTTTTATTGTGGTAGTAGTGCCGGGAACTTCTTTGGCTGAGTTAATATTTCATTCACAACTTTGGCTGGAGCACCATTTGTTTTGGACTGGGTACCTCGATTACGGCATACCTGGTTTCTCGTGTTCTGGGAATGGCTATGGGACTCAGAAGGGGAATTTCTGAGGTAGCTTGACAGCACTTCTTTGTAATGAATGAGGAAGCTTCCTATGAGTCTAATGATATTTTCTTTTTTTATTAAAAAATCACTTTATTGAAGGCACTTACAGTTCTTATTCCATACAGCAATTGTTTCAGGCATATTTGTACATAGGTTGCCATTACCATTTTCTAAACATTTTCTATTTAAGCCCTTGGTATCAGCTCTAAAAAATTTTTCCCTCCCACCCCCTCTCTCACCCTCATGACCCCTTGGTAATTTATAAATTATTATTGTTTTCATGTCTCCCTTCACCCATGTTTCTGTTGTTCATCCCCCTGGGGGGCAGATTATGCGTCAATCATTGGGATCCATTCCCCCTTCCTCCCCTCCTCCCTCTACCTTCTCCCTCCCCTCCTGGTATTGCTACTCCCAATTCTGTTCCTGAGGGATTTATCTGACCTGGATATTCCTTGTGTCGTGAGCTTGTACCTGTACCAGTGTACATGCTCCAGTCTAGCCAGAACTGAAAGCCAGGACTGGAGTCATGAGATGGGGGTGAGGAACCCTCAAAGCGCCAGAGGAATATTGTGTTTCATCGGTGCTATACTACGCCCTGGTTGACTCATCCCTTCCCTGTGACCCTTCTTTGAGGGGATATCCTGTACAGATGGATTTTGGGTCTCTGCTCCAACCCCCTCATTCTCAACAATATGTTTGTTTTGGCTCTTCTGATGTCTGATACCTGATTCCGTTGACTCCTCATGATCACCGAGGGTTGTGTGCTTCTTTCATGTGGGATTGTTGCTTCCCTGCTAGATGACTGCTTGTTTAGCTTCAAGCCTTTAAGACCTCAGATGCTATATCTTTTAAAACTGGGGACCATCAGCTTTCTTCACCACATTTGCTTAGCACCCATTATATCTTCAGCGATCGTGTCGGGTGGGTGAGTATCACAGAATGCCAGGTTGTTAGAACAAAGTGTTCTTTCGTTGAGGGAGGACTTGAGCAGAGGCCCAAAGTCTGTCCACTTCCTCAACATGCTGCCATATAAATATATGTATCTAGACTAATACCTCTATTTGTATGAATTAATATATCTACAAAAGTGCACACCTATGTTTATACCTGTATCCATAGCTTGGCTTCCCTAGATCCTTCCTCTGTTTCCTTTTACCTTCCTCCTGTCCCGCCATCACGCTTACCCTTCTGCCTCTTAGCAATTCCTCTCAGCTAGATTACTGTTGCTCCGACACCCCCAGGATCTCTACATCCCCCTCTTTGTTGCTTTTAATTCCCTAGTTGTTCCCCTGTCTGTGGCGTTGTTTGCTCACTGCTCCTTTCTCCCAACTCCTCCTCCCCCAGGTCCCTCCGGAACTGGCACTGTCAGTCCCATTGCTTTCTCCTTGGGCTTGCTCCCCATGCCTGTTTTATAGTGGTAGGCAAACAACAAGAACAACAGAGACAAAACA